GGTCAGTTGTTTATGATCAAGTCTCTGATCTGTTTTTTTTTTTGTTTTTTTTGTTTTTTTTTGGTACCAGGGATTGGATTTAGGACCTTGTGCTTTTGAGGCAGGAGCAGTGTCACTGAACCCCAGCCCTGCTCTGTAATTTTTTGTTGTTTTTGTTGTTACCAGTGAATGAACCTGGGACCTTCCACTTGCAAGGCAGGCAGCAGAACCACTGAGTTAAATCCCTGGCCCCCTCTGTAATGTTTTTAAGTCAAATGCAAAACATAAATTTGCTCCATTCTTTGGGATATCTGGGATACTGGAAAGGTAGCAGAAAGGTTTTCTAAATGTTTTTAATTGTATTAGATCTGTGTAAACTTTTTGAGGACAATGTGTAGGATTCTGCATAATCTAAAAAACATGCTCAGAGTAGAATTTACTTTTTATTTAAAAAATTTACCCAATTCGGGAATGGCAGAAACTCAAGCCCATTATATTTCTAACAGTTGCGATATAAACCAAGTCCCTAGGGTTGATGTGTATCATCTGTCTGTGCGATAATCTCATTTTCAATAGGAGTCTAAAGACTGATATTAAATATTAAAGAAAAGCAGAACTGCTTGAAATTTGGTTTCACAAGCTTTCAACAAATTTTGCCTCTGATTTCTTTTCTAGTCTTAAATCCTATATCTAGGTAGTTAAAGGAGATTCCATGACTGAGGGTTCCTTTCTTATATCTGCAAAAATAGGCATACCCAAGGATTTTAGTCATTTTCCTTCTTTGCAGCCTCCCAAGAAGATGTAGATTACCAGACCTGGGGCAGCTGCACTGTAAATTATAAGAACATTTTCTGAACCTAATTAGGCTAACAGTCTCTTTTGCAAATCAGGTGATGTGGGAAATGATAGAGGAAAGGAGGAAACAGCACAGCATGGGCAGTGGTTGCACTCCACAGTCCCCAGATCAGTGTCCTAGGTTGATTTTGCATGGAATGGGTACTGACACAAGTCCCATCTGTGTTTGTGATCAGGATTTTAACTCTTCCAGATTTCCAGTTTCCCCGGATGCCTGATGTGTGAATCAACTGGCATGAGGTGGAGAACACATGGAGTGTGTTATGACTCAGTCTGTCATCCTCAGGCACTGAGTTCAGCAGGAAAATAAATAAGAAAGGTTAAGGGATCTTTTCACTGAGAAATAGTAAATAACACTTGGAACAAAATGGAGGTGAAATATATTCTCAATTCTTCATTTGTGTAAATATACCTAGAGCATTTTTCAGAAAGTTATCAGCCCTTGGAAAGTGGCAGTCAAAAAGAGGAATGGTGAAATGTATTGGAGCAGTTTTGTGGGCAGAGGACATTGATGGTGTGGGTGCTAGACGACTGCAACTAACAGACAAAATCAGATAAGATAATTCTGACAGACTTGATCACCAGCACCTAGAAGATCCCTATTGTAAACTTTTCACTTCCGTTGGTGAGTGTATGAGGGAGAGCTAAATGTCATGCAGCGGAAGATATAGTTGGGAGGCATAGGATTGAATCAAAACCAACCATTTAATGTGACTTCATTTAAGTATTGGTCCCTTGACTGTAGCTGGGGAAAAAAATCTGATACACAAAATTGAAAGCAGGTTTACTTTGGCTCACTTTCCAGAGTATTCAGTCCATGGTTGGTGGACTCTGAGACAGAAGAGGAAGGGCAGAATGGTATGGCAGAACACTGCTCAACTGATGCAGCCAAGAAGCAGAGAGACACGAAGGGACAAGGACAAGAATTCACCCTTCCAGGTCACTCCCCAGTGACCCACCTCTTCTGACCAGGCCCCACCTCTGAACACGAGATTTAGGGGGATATTTTAGATATAAACCATAACAATTTGTTATCCCTGGATAGTAAAATGTCAGGAATGTAAGCTACATATGTAATTTGCTTTATTGCTTCTCAATCCTATGTAAGCTTGAAGTCCTAAAATAAATATTAAATATAAATTCTGTACATCTTTCCTCTACCCTTTCCACCTCTTACTCTCTCACAGTACTGTTCCAGCAAGGGTTTTGTGCATGACATGGGGTTAAGGGGTGTATTTTTTTTTTTTTTTTTTTTTTTTTTTTTTTTTTTTTTTTTTTTTTTTTTGGTACTAGGGGTTGAACTTGGGTCCTTGCACTTGTGAGGCAGGTGGCGGAACCACTGAGCTATATCCCTGGCCCAGTGTGTACTTTCTTTAGCACACACAGATGCCAACAGTCCTCTGTCATGGGCAGTACACCTGCCCATCTTATCATTGATCCATAGCACTTCTGTTTTTCTTCTCTGAGCACCAGGTCCAATGATAAGCTCTACAGGCAAAGTGAAATAGACCTTCCCCTAAACATATATTTGTCTGATGGACTGAGGTAGCCATTGTGGCTGGGGTGTTGTACTTTCTGCTAGATGGTTCCTGGAAAACAAGAAAGACAAGTCTTCATGTATCTTCCACTATGTAGGGGGAAACTCCAACCCAAATCTGGATTACCACCAGGACAGGACATAAAACAAACTCAGTAAATTGGTGACACCTCCTCATTTCTCATAATAGAGATAAGAAAAGAGAATGTGACTGAAGCACAAGACTTAACAGGTAAAAAGGCAAGAGCTCATCCACTGCCAATGTGGGACAGTATGTTTTTGGGGTAGGTATTAAGTGTAAGCAGAAGCTGTGGACTGAAAGCTTTGTTCTGTTCTGTGGCTGCTTGGGTAAGCTTTTTGTTGCTATGACAAAATGCCTTAGAAAACAACACCAAGGAGTAAAGATTTATTTTGGTTGATAGTTTCAGAAGTTCCAGTCCATAGCCTGCTGGTTCCATTATTGTGGGTCCAAAGTGAGTTAAAAACATCATGGTAGCAGGACAAAGTGGAGAAAAGCTGTTCATTTCATGCCAGCCAGGAAGCAGAGAGAAGGAGGACATAAAAGAGCTGGAAAGGAAGGAGCCAGAGATCAGACGCAGACCTCAGAGTCCCACCTCTATGATCCAGTCTCTGTAACTGGACCTCACCTCCCGTTTCCCTCATTTCCCAATAGTGCCATCAAATTAGGGATTCAAGAGTATATTAATCCACTGACAAAATTAAAGCCCTTATGATCCAATTATTTTCTCAAAACCCATCAGCAACTAAGTCTTCAACACAGTGAGCATTTTGGGGGACATGTAATACTAAAGCATTACCGTGCTTGATATTGAGTAGTCAGTCTGGGTTATACGTGCCAGTTCACAATCAATCAAATTTTTTACGTATCAGTAGTTGACTCTAAAAGACTTATTGTACAGCGAAATTGCAGACAAACTAGAACACTGCTTCATGTTCTATCATATGTAAATTATTTATCAGTAAAATTATTACTGTTTTTTAGGGATTTTACATTGTGCACACTGATGATCTCCAATGCATACAACACTACTTTTTTTGTTCAGCTTTAATTGAGTTTATTGGTACATCTTAGGGATACAGTACAGTTACATTCATTGTTGGGATCTTGTATCTCTACAAGATAAGTCTTGGTTCTCATTTTTTCCCCTTGTCCCTGCCCTCCCTTCACCCCCTCCTCCCCTCCCCATCTACAACCACTTTATTTCCATCTTTTCATTATCTCACATTTTTTTCTTTTCCCTTTTTACCCTTTCCCTACCCGTCCCCCTTTCCCTATACCTTTAGCTCCTTTCTTCCCATTTCTCAATGTCAGTAATCTTATTAGGATCTTCTGTATTATTGCAGATTATTCACACCAGAGCACTACTTTTAATGTTAGAAAACAAGAATCATTTTTACCACACTTCAAAATTTAATTTAAAAATTGGGTTTTATCTAATATTTTAACTGCATAATAACAAGTGTTTATATAAATTTAAATTTAAGATAATTCCAATAGACAACAATGTTCCAACCCAGAGAGAAGCTGATGGTCTCAGCCAGTGACAGCTGACCCCATTTTGCTTCATTCTGATCGGATATGTAGACCATTAAATATCTATGTAGAAAATATCTATGCAGTCACCCCATATCGTCAACTTTGTGGTTACTCAGAAGATTTTTCAAGGTTGAAAGAAGTGTTTATATCACCCAATACGCAACATTTCTAACAGTGAAAAGCCCCATCCTCCAGTAAATGTCATTTCCCAAGACCTCCCATGAGGTCCTTAGTTACCAAGTTATTATGTCATTCAGCTACTTTCTTATCATTTCAAACCTGGGTTCGGCAAAAAAAATATTTTTGGAGAAAGCAAGACTCCCCTTTACAAAGAAATTTTACAAAGAGTAGCTTCAAACATGAAAATTTCTCCGTGGAATCACAATCTACAAAAATAAATCTGCATTTCATTCTCTCTCTTTTGACTATTCCTACCGAGGAAGCATTTTTGTATACAAGTTCCAAATATATAGTTTAGTTTCTGGCATATTGTGCAGTATCCTTTTTTCTTGTTATATGCTGTATTACAATTTCAGAGAGGACAGAGTGAAGAAAAAGTCACCCCATGTACTTCCTGAAAGTCATGTACTGTGGCTGCCAAACCCCACTGGTTCTGCTAGGCATATCTCTTCTAGATTTAACTCGTTCCCTGCTCTCTTGTTTCAAACTATGTTGCAATCTAAGTTAATGTGACAGTTGAATCCATTTTGTGTGAGGCATTCTAGATTGAGGATTGGCTGGGAAGGAGAAGGAAGGAGACACCATTGGGTATGTGCGTGTTAGAGAATAGAGAGACAGAGACAGAATGAGAACAGCCCTATATTATATTGACTTTGGTCCCTCATGAACACAGTGCTTTACTGTCTGTGCAAAGCCAGCCTGCACAGAACCTAAAATGACTCCATGAATGGAAAGATTTTAGAGGTGGGAAAACATTTAACCCCTGGCACAGAAGGGTTTCCCCATATCCCTGATCCAGCACTATGGCCAGTGCCTTAGTTTACACTTATGCTGTATCAATTGTTACATATTTTGAACACCAACTTGGTGGAAAGGGTTCAACTCCCTTCCAGAAGTAGCCCTGTGGGCACTGTGGCCTGATTCCTCATTCTATGTCTAATCTACAGATGCTGAAGTGATGAGGTTTCCAGAGTCCTAATCCCTCTGCGAGTTTTCATCTACGTGCTATGCTTCTCCATTCAGCTCTTGAAGAAAGGCCAGGAGATGCAAAGCTTCAGAATCTGCTTCATTTTTAGAAAGTCGTGTTTGGGCAATTTTTTGAAGTTTCACTTTCATCTTCTCTCTCTCCTTTGATTCCAGGTTAATTTTCACTCCCTCTATAAAATGATGGATGGCCTTGTCTGCACATTTCATTTGATACAGCTGAAAATTACCATACCGCAGATGGAGCACTTGTTTAGCTACAGGAGTGAGCTCTTTGCTGAATTCTTTTTGGAAGTAATACTCTGCTTTTTCATAGTAGCCTGCTTCCTTGTATTCACCTGCTATAGCATAGAGACTAGCAATAGAGGAACAGATACCACTGAAATTCCCATTGTTCTCATCAGCTTTCTTTAAATACTCCACAGCCAGTTCTATTTGTTCCAGAAACTTCTTTCTTTCCCCACACATTTTATTCTCTCCTACCTTCAGTGTTTGGAGGACTTGTGTCCTGTAGCAGCTTCCAATATGGTAATGCAAGTAGGTGTTGTGTGGCATGTGTTCTAAAGCCTTTCTAAGCAGTTTTATGGTTTTGTTACAGGAACGTTTATTTCGATAAAACTTTGCTGCACTGAGCAATACATCTGTTGCATCTGGAGCTTTCTTTAAGGCTTCTTCAACTAGACTCTCTCCTTTATCCTCTTCCTTCATCTTCTGAAGTTTCAGAGCCAAGAGAACTTTAATATACTGGTCATCAGGATTCAGCCTGATGGCTTTCCTCAGAGGGTCAGTGGGGTCCTGAGAGGGTGGCCAATTGGCCAGACGCGAGCTTGCGATGGCCCAGCCAGAGGTGAATTCTGGGTTTTTGGGGTTCTTTTCTAGAGCCTTCTCAAAACACACCTTTGCCCTTTCAATTTGCTTTGTTGTACACTTTAGCCGTGCCCACCCTTCCTCACAGTCAAGCTCGGGGCTTTCAATTCTATAGGGCCTAGAAAACTTTGCACAGACCTGTTTTACCTTGTCCATATAAGCCTGAGCTTCTGAGAGCTGGCCCAGGTGATAATGGACCCAGGCATAGTTTCCCCAGGTGACCAGACATCGTATTTCTTGGCCAGGATGTTCTCGCTGGATTATCTCTTCGGCCTGCTGTAAGCATTCCAGGGCTGCCTCATTTTGGCCTCTGCAGTGCTTTATGTAGGCCAGTATGTTACATATCGTGGCTTTAAATTCACCACTCTGAAACTCATACTTGTGCAGCACTCTGTCCTCGAACTCATCCAAGGACTTTTCCCCTATCAAGTTCCAGGTGAAATGACATTTTAATTGCCATAGGCTGCTCTCCAAGGAATTTTCAGTGGCCTCACTATAGGAAAAAAAGAGAAAAGTGGCTACTTTGAGACACAGAACAGATTCATTTGTCAAGAAACAAGATCACAGCAAATAAAATTCTTTTCTGGGAAAGCAAGAATGTGGGGATTATGGGCAGCAGAAGAATTAGAGAGAAGGAGGTGGGTCATTGTGAGCCTGAGGGTCAGTTTCCATAATAAGATGGTTTTTGTGGTAGCTCTGGCTCTGTGTTGGAAGGTCTTTGCAGGGCTTGCATAATTTGTGGGAAATTTAATTAATACATTTTAAATTACTTTTTTTGATTTCCCTAATTATTTTGGCTCTTGCTATATCCTTAATAGATTTTATTGTCTACCAAACTTTTTGAGCTTTTATCAAATTGGATTTGCTTTATCTTTTTTAACATTATACACTCATTTTCTGCCATTGAATTTTTCTATTTCAACCATTTGTCTTGTTTACAACCATTCTTAAATTTCACTCACTGCATTTGCTTTTGCAGTATTCTCTTAACTTTACCAAGTATTAGCAAAGTCTTGAATTTTCATTTTGAAATAAAATATAATCATTTTTCTTTTTTCTCCCTTGTTTCTACTTCTTAGACTGGCAATTTCTATGCTTAACACGTGCTGTTGAGCTGAATATTTATTAATAATTTTGCATTTCTATCTAATTTTACTGGTATTTTATTTTTCTCTGCTAGGATTTTCTTTTATAGCAGAAGATGAGATGTATGGCTGGAGGGGAGGCTAATAGGCAACTATCTTATGGGAAGAGCTCTGTTTCCTTTAGAGTGCCCACATAACTCTTCTCAAAGATTTTCCATTCTCTTGAAGATTCCCTTCACTCTTGGGGCTCTAAATAAATAAATAAGCAGCAACAACAAAAACTAGCCAAAAAACAAATGAACAAAAAATGTGTTCTGTGTGTATTGGAGTCCCTTAAAGGTTGCCATTTTCTCACTTAAAAGTTTTTCATGGTATCTATATAGCCCTTTTATCAGGAGCAAAATATCTAAATATTATGAATTCTAATGTATGCAACCAATAGATGTCTGTCTAGATAGCCATGCAAAGCAGTCAGGATCACTTTTGAAATTTATGTCTAGATGGAAGACTATTCCCACTTTCTATTTGTACCATCTCTTTTACTTTTTAATATCATACCTCCTCCAGCCACACACATTTTGATGGGGCCATCATTGGGCCAAGTTGGAAATGAACTAAGAGGGAGTGAGGAAGCCTTCTCATGTGTTAGGAAGTATGCTGTACACACTGGGGGGCCCAATGGTGATCTTATTCTATAGAAACCACCATATTCTATAAGGCATGCAGCAGAGAGTGTGACCCAGGCACACAGGGAGAATTCACAGGTCCAAGTCCCCACTGTTGCATCCTTGGCTTGGTATCTGATATCCTAATGACAGCATCCTTCCCTTCAGAAGTTCATATCCATTCTGAGCTATTTTCCTTCTCAATGAGGTTACAGAGAGATTCCTGAAGCAGATGAACTCTTTGGTGCTTTCTAATTTTATAAAATGAACAGACAGTGATGGAAAGGAGCTTATCTTCAGAGCTGAGCATGGTAATACAGTGACTACAATTCCAGCTACTTGGGAGGTTGAAGCAGGAGGATGGCAAGTTTGAGGCCATTGGGCAACTTAGTGAAGCTGTCAGAAAATAAAAGGGCCCAGAGGTGAGCTTAGTATTGGGTCCCAGGTTTCAATCTCCAATAAGTAAATGAACAAAACAAAACACAGTCAATTGTATATTTGTAGGCTAGAGACATTTAATACATGTTTTCAAGTAAAATTCCTTTGGGCAGCCATTCAAAAGTCATCTGTTTTCCCTGCTTGCTCTTGGCTTTTTATTTCCACTGGTAAGTCAGCGAAACTGGTCTCTGACCCTTGCTTCCTGGGCTCAGACTTGTGAGATGCATGTTCCTCCTCATTTTAGCTGTTCTAATGGTTTATGCTGCAAAGATGTATTCACCTGCTTCTTGTCTCAATGAAAGCCACAGTAACACTGTCCACTGAGCTCAGAGGGGCCACCACAGTGTCTCAGAGCAGCCTCAGCATCACTGAGGAGGCTAACAAATGTGCCCAGTCTCAGACCAATCTCGTAACCATATTTTAGCGTGTGTGTGTGTGTGTGTGTATGTGGGGGTCGGGCCCAGGAGTCAGCCTGTTGTGAAGTTCTCCAGATGTTTCTAAGCATAAGTTTGAGAACTTTTGTGTAAGAACACAGAGGGAATACTCTAAGCAATTAAGGAAAGTAACAAGAGGGACTGATTGACTTGTATTTAAAAAAAAAAAAAGAGATTCTAAAATAAGACAATGCCCCCCCCACAAAAACAAGGTTTTTTAAAGATTCTGGATGACTGTAAAACCAGAAATCTACAAACATCTCAAGTCTCTTTTCTTCTATCAGGTGGATATATACCCTAGTAGAAAAATATGAGTTCAAGTTGATCAGGAGCCTTAAAGAAGAAGAGCCATTTGCAGGTATTGCTGGATTCCAGAACTGTCAGATCTGAGCCTTAAGCAAGCAGGTCCAGTCACCCTACCCTCAAACTAGAGAAAACAGAAAGTTATCTTCCCAAGGAGCAAACACTTCCTTTCCAGGGCAATCTTAGTTTCTAGTGAACAGGTGGATTTTAAGGTAAGCACTATTTTCTCCATGCACTCTTTCTCCAATAGATACTTCAGATAAAAGGACTCTAGCAAATAAGTTAGATTTTGTTTTTTTCAGTATTGGGAATTGAACCCAGAGCCTTTAAACTGAACTACATTCCTAGCCTTTTTTTATTTTTCAGTTTGAGACAGGGTCTCACTAAATTGCCAAATTGCCCAGGCTGAGGTTAAATTTGCTATCTTCCTGCCTCAGCCTACCAGAGTGCTGAGATTGCAGGCATGCCTACCACATCCAAGCTCCAATCAGTTTGAAGGTGAAAATATTTCTGTTCAATTACTAGTCCTAATGCAAATCTGAGATGAACAAGTTCCATATTAAAGTAAACTTTAAAGTAAAATTCACTTTAGCAGGAAGTAGGGCTGCTATTCTGCCTACGTCTTTAACAATACCTACTGAAAAGAAATCTTTTACTAAATATTACTTTTATCAAAAGCCTGATCTTAATACTTCGAATAAAAAGCAAAAGAGGGGGCCGGAGGTTTAGCTCAGCAAGGTTCCAAGTTCAATCCCTGGCACCAAAACAAAACAAAAAACAAAAGAGGAATGGTTCACAAGAGCAATTTCCCAGGCTCATCTTTACACTTATACCCCAGCCCACCTCCATACAGGTGCATGCACACACACATGCACACACAAACACACACACACACACACACACACACACACACCAGATTAAACCTCTGACTGCCAGCTTCTGAATCAGACCTCAGCTCTCTGCTTTCTTTCCTAAATGAGCAGTTCCAAAGACGTCTGCAGGAAGCTGGACTGTGTGACTCACAGGAGGAAACAAATGGCATTAATAAGACTCACAGATACAGAGTTAGAGGGGTAGTGAGGTTATAAGCGAACACTAACACAGAACTGGCCTTGCTGGGAGCGTGGCTGTTTAGGATTTGCATTAGATGGCAAGACTCATTCTACATTTTCAACATGATTGTAGAAGGGAGAAGCTTTACCTCATGATGGCAGTGCAGTTTCAGGCTGTGTCCAAAGGCTGCAGTTCAGGCTACTGTGCTCTTCAGAAATTTTCCTCCTCTGTCTCCAGTAAATGCTGAAGACACGTATATAAGAGCAGCACCTGGTTTCGGTTTCTGTTTCCTTGCAGTTGATTTAATCAAACACAAACTGAAACAGGAATGTGAAATTACAAGACTCATTGCAGAGAAAGGACTCTTGCATAAGAGCCAAGCTTGTGCAGTGAATCAGAATGTATTGATGTCCTTTACTTGCAACCTCAGTTCTCCGTTTTCCTAAGTAAGCTGCACTAAGGAAGCTGGCTGTGTTACTCAGAGGAGGAAACAAATGGAAATTTATAAAACACATTTCCAAAGCAGCCTTCCTCATTATTATCATGTTAATCCATCCTAATTCTTATCACTTTATGACACACAGGCCACTATACAAATGGATTAACATCCACAGGGAAAGGATTTTGGTTTGCTTCATTCATGTCAAAGCTGCAGCTCTTGGGCTGGAGATTTAGATCAGTGGCTCTGTTGCCTGCCTCAAAAGCTCAAGGTCCCAAGTTCAATCCCCAGTACCAAAATAAACCAAACAAACAAAAAAGCTGCAGCTCTTACCCTAGTATGTATATGTTATGCGGTATGGTAAGCATTCAAAGATCAGTCATGCAATGAAGGCACACATGGTTCAAATCATGCATGCTGATGTCAGTCTATCTGCATTTGAAGCCAGGTTCTTTCTGTAGACATCAAACTCCAGATACTTCTGACTTTGAGTGCGTATTTGCACCAGCAGACATACAGGGGCTTTCAGGCCTTGAGCCTTGGGCTGGGGTGATATTACTGGGCCTGATTATTCTAAGGTTTCCAGCTTTTAAAACTGAGCAGGTACTGATTTTCTCTGGCTCTTCAGACTATAGATGGCTGTTGGGGAACTATTCAGTCTCTGATTATGTAAACAAATCTAATAAATCTTCTCATAACTGAAAGGGTTCCAGAGACACTCAACAACTAGGCCACACACACACACTGAGAGGTCCACCTGGAGATTTTACTCAGGAAGCAGGAGCAGAGAGGGAGAAGGGGCAGAAGAAAGAACAAAGAAGGGAAGGTCCTTTTATTACTTTTGGGCTAAGCTATTGAATATTAATGAGGGGTGAGCTACTTCTAACCTATCACAGGCCAGGTTGCTTTTATGGGTCCGGCCCTGCAAAAACAGGTTTCAACTTCTCTGGACCACTGTGGCCTTCGGGGGAGGGAAACCAGAGATAAGGGCATGAGGCCATTTTAGGAGCCAAGAACCACCAGGAAAATGCAGCCTGTGATGGCGACATCACAGCATGCTTTAACATGATCAGTTCCTAGCAATAACTACATTTATTCTATTCCTTCTATATATATCTCTGGAGAACCTTGCCTAATAAAATACTTTGAACCACAAAGGGATTGTAATGCACATAGGTCGAAGGGGGGGAAATGGTAATAGCACCAGATGTTTCTAACATCTGGAAATTACACAGCCCAGGTGAAACATTCTCCAGTAAAATCCAGGTTGTTGGGGTAGGTTGGTCAGTCTTGGAGAAAGGTATTTGTCATGAATTTTTCTGCCTAGGCAGAGAAGAAAGAGAAGCTGAGCTTCCTAAATTCCTCTACCCTTTGCTTAGGATACAGTTGTACCTACCCAAGTTGGAAACTAAGTCTCACTCAAGAATGAGAAGTCCTACTTCTGCTTACAAGTTCCAGGATGTATTTATAAAAATAGATTTTATAATGCTGAAATAGGAAACTAGAAATACTGTGGGTTTTGTTTGGGTTTTTGAAATTCCACTCAAAAAAACTATTAGATAGAAATGTTTAACGTGTGGCTAAATGTACTGGATAGGGAGAGAGAGAGAGAGAGACAGATTTTACCAATGATCAGTGCATTCTAGAGTACATAGAGATAACTATTTAGAAAACTGTATGACCAATGCCTGTGTACAGTACTACCACAGCAGTAATGAGAATATGTGGTATGACTTCAGAACAGAAAGTAGAGAAGAGAGAAACATTGTGAAAATTCTGATTACTCTGCTTACTACATGTATTTATGTGTCTTTTTTCTAAAATATAGGCCAAAGGCTGATCCTGTGGCAGCCTGATTTAAAGGAAAGGATTTCTTACTCTTCCCAGAATGAGGAAAGCCATTTTGCACAGTTACACTGGCTACAGGGTGGTATAATGCAATTCTTTGTGATCAGCAGCATCAGCTGCAACACTGACTGGGAACTTGCAAGAAAGGCACATTCTCAGGCCCTGACTGATGAACTAAAGCAGAAATGCAGGTTAATAAGCCTTACAGAGAACTCTAATACTTGCTACAGGAGTGATACAATGAATGCAAGTGAAAAATACTTTTACTTATGAAATGATAATTTTCCTTGGGATTTTCTCAAAATTGATCCACTTTTTTTTTCTTTTTTTTCTTTTTGGTATCAGGGATTGATCTCTGGTCCTTGTACTTGCAAGGCAGGTGGTGGAATCATTGAGCTAAATCCCCCACCCAATAAATCATAAATTAACCTTATTTAAAAACCAGAGCAGAGCCAGACATGGCAACACATCCTCCAACTCCTTGGAAGGCCAAGGCATGAGGATTTTAATTGAACACCATCCTGGGCAACAGCAAATTGCCCTTTACCAGGTCACTGACAGACATCAGGTAGCACCCTATCTGAGATGACTAAGAATGTTTTTCTTGCCTTGATTCCTGAAATTGTATTTAATGCCTTTGAAAATCTCAAAGCGCATTTCTAAAGTGATCGATTTTTTTTAAAACATGCTTTAATCTAGAGAATAATTGTTTCTTGCTTAATGGGGCATTTTACTTAATGGGGCAAATTCACACAGACTTTCCCTAAAGAAACTTAAATCCTACCAGGAAGTAGCCAGAACCTCAGGCTAGAGCAATGTTACAGGAGGTTTTGGTGGAGGGCTAGAGACAAATCTACTTCTTTCCATTATTGCAGCCATATTTCATCAATTAAGCATGCAAAATAGGCAGAAATGTTGTTACAAGCTCTTGTTTTTATGTTTTTCATTTAAAGAAAGTCAGGAGGACAGGGTTATTTAATTACAATTTTTAAAGGTAAGGTACTCCTTTACCAGAGCTCAGCAACTGCAGTTAGTTACTAAATCAGAATTTTAGTCTCTGAGATCCTGAACACCTTTTTTTTTTGAGGGGGACAATTTTTTGAGACAGGATCTTACTATGCAGTTGAGACTGACCTGGAACTCACTGTGTAGCCCAGGCTGGTCTTGAACTCACAGTGATCCTCCTGCCTCAGCCTCCTGAGTGTTGGGATAACAGGCAGGCACCACCACACCTGGCTAAGACAGATTTCTAAGCAAGGGGGATCAGGGAATCCAGTCTCAAGATGACAAGAGCACAGGGAGTCTGAAAAGCCCTGTTTTTATTAGTAGAACAAGACAATGTAGCAAACATACAATTCAAGAAACAAATAACTATAGGTGGCTAACAAGGAACATAACAACCGCATGCCTGGATATGTGATTCTCTTTGATTAACCCTCAGCTGATGTCTTTCTCTCCAGGGTATTTTGGGCATCAGCAACCCTGAGTACAAAAAGGAAGGGGTAAGCCTCCTACACCCTGTCCTGTCACTAGGAGAGGTCAACAAGCCCTTGGTATCTGCATCTGATCATATAGCCCGGTCTTCCACAGTATGAACAAAAAAATTATTGTAACATTTAAATATAATTTACATATAAAATGTAAATATTTATAACAATGAGTAACATGTACATTATAAATTACACATGTTTATAATATGTAAAGGCAATATAATTGTTATATAATATTCTATTATATAATATATATGTGCATATATATTTCACGTACTTCCATTATAACTGTTTTAACCTTAGTCTTTATATTTTTTCACAATTCAGTTACATATATACATATATATATATATATGTATATATGTATACACACACACACACACACACACACATATATATTTCTTCTAGTACCAGGGATCAAACTCAGAACCTTGTGCTTGCAAGGCAGGTGCAATGCCACTGAGCTAAATCCCTGGTTCATTCGGTTATATTTTATGAGATTTCTTGCTTTTCCAAAGTAGAAAAGAATGATTCAGAGCTTGTCCTTGTAGTTATGTTTTGTTTTATTTTGCTTTCTGTTTCACGGATCAAACTTGGGACCTTGTGCTTGCGAGGCAGGTGGCAGAACCCCTAAGCTAAATCCCCAGCCTAGTTATGCATTTTTAAACTAATATTTCAAATTAATTGTTACATCTTCCAGCTCTGAAGATAGGGTAGCTTCCTAGCTGCATGGCCTTTCTGCTTCTGGTCCTGACCTATACTTATTATAAGGATAAACTAAGATAAACTAAGAAAATCCCAAGTACCTGGCAAATTTCAAGCTATTTATAAATGTGGACTTCCTTATACTTCCCGACACAGTGAGGCAGAAAGACAGGTTTTGAGGTCAGACCTTCTGGGCTCAGTGGCTCTGTTCCCAGCTATTCTTGCTTTGGATTTTAGCTTTGGTCACAGTTTAGCTGTGGACAGTAATAGACTTATGATTTACTCTTGTTTTTCTTTCAATATAGATATGAAGTCATTAAAACTGAGAAATGAAATCAACCTTGTTATTGTGCCCTGAGAAAAAGAAACAGCAAATTTGTAAAAACTGTGCTTCTTTCTCCAGCTGTGACGCTTTGGCTGGTTTCAATGAAGCTTTTGGCCCCGAGCCTCATTCATATCAGGGACATGCTCTGCTGAGAAAAAGAAAACCTAGAGGCAGGATTAGTTTGGGGTTCTTAAAATAGCAGAATGTCTTCTCTTATCTCTCAGGCTTATGTAACAGAACACTTGTAAAACAAAAACAAGGTTGGGGGCATACTCCCATCAGTACATCGGAGGAGGATTTGGTTTTGGTTTGCTGTTTGTTTTGAAAAAATAACCACAAAGAAAAGATACCAGGAAAATCTTGTTCCTGGGGAGCCCTGCTTTGTAGAGATGGTGGCTTCCTGTGCTGCTCCTGGCCACCAGAGGGTGCTCTTCTGTCCTGTGCTCCCCTCTCTTCCATAGGAAAGTTTGCCCCAGTCTCGCAACTGGGAAGGGGTCCAGTTTCACCTGTGTTCCCTGAACTTTGTAGCCTTGGTCTTGATGCTCCCCAGGATCCAGCAGGCAGCCAGTGCATTGAAAATGCCAGTCATTGGCTTCATCTCTTGTGTGGCTTTTTCTGTACTTTCAATGGCATCTCTTTCAGCTCTTCTGCTCAATTGCACTCCCACACTTGTGGCCTCACTTCTTAAATCTCCTCCATGTAGTAGTAAATCCTTTCAGAAATTACTATGCATCCGCAGAAGTCTAGGCCTTGTAACTGTTGCCTATTTCTTAGGCTTAACACTATTGTGATCTCTACATCATTGTCAAGTGTAGGAATGAACTAGTTTTTGTAGCTGTTGTACTAAATCTTCACAAACTTGGTAGGTCAAAACAAGAGAAATTTATTTTTTCATGGTCCTGGAGGCTTATGGTCAGAAATCAAGGTGTTGACAAGACCACACTGTCTTTGAAGATCCCAAAGGAAATTCCATTCTTGGCCCTTCTGGCTTCTAGTGACTCTTGGTGCTCCTTGGCTTGTGGCTGCAATCTCATCTTTGCTTTCACATGGTCTGTTCCTTTTCTATATAAAGATGTTGTCATTGAACCAAGGGACATCCTAAATCCAAGGTGATTTCATCTTGAGGCCCTTAATTTAATGAAAAATAAAAATAGAAGCAATATTGAGAGTGTACATGGCAGGCTCTACACATTTTTAGTCCATTTCTCACAGCAATCCTACTAAGTTTGTGTTAGTAGTCCCTATTTAGAGATGGGGAAATTGAAACTCAAGGCAGTTGCACAAAGTTTTCGAGTTAGAAACTAATAGATTCACCCATGTTTATAACGCATAACTCAGCATTTCACTATGATTACCAAATTTATTCATTCATCCATTTATTCTATTCTACATTTACTGAATGCCTGCTGTGTGTAGCAACCATGTAAGGTTCTCAAGATACAGCCAGGGGGTGGGACATAAAAATCCCTGCTTGCATGATGTAGTAGTATTCTAAAGTGAGAGACAGTAAACAAATGATTACAATGTGGTATTCTAGATGTTGTGGTGGTTTATTAATTGTCAACTTGAGTAGGGAATGCCCAGCTGAATTGAGCCAGCATGGTTCTGAGTGTAGAAGGCTCACTTTCAGGAGGCTGTGGCCTGAATGGTATAAAAGGAGAATGGCGGGGAAGGATTTCAGCTGATTTTTCTTGGAAGGGCTTCAGTGTGGCTGATTTTCCTCCAAGTGGGAGCTTTGGCTGTTCTCTTTAGTTTCTAGAGCCATTCCTTTCACTTTCAAACACAGACCCCTTGGTCTTTCATTACAGATCCTTTGGCGTCCTGGTGTAGACTTGTACAGGATATTGTTGTGGGCTTAAGGCCTTCAGCTGGATCCTTCCTATCTGTAGCACATAGACAGATCTTTTTCCCTCTTCAATATTTGACTCTGAGAGTGGCCACTGTAGACCAATCTTGTATATTTCCTGCATTAAATCTGATTCAGAGCATGTGAAGTCTTTTGAGAAGTCTTACCTCAGCCCTGCAAGCTGTTGTCAGCACTGACTAATACAACTATGATGCTGGTTTGAAAAAAATATAGAGAAATACATGTACCTTGTTGGACATTTATTCAAATTTACCAATTGTAACAAGACATCTTGGAGAAAACTGGGATATAATACTGATATAATACTGTTAATTCACGTAGATGTGGTGATGGCACAGTGATTGTGTTTCTAAGAAATGCACATTTTATTTAAAGATTCAGACAAATATTTATGGATAAACCAAAGTTGCAAAGTATTAATGGCACCAAAATTAATGTGGCATAATGCAAAAGCAAAATGAATCCATCTTATTACCTTCTCAGTAGTTACTTCCACTGAAAGGATACCATCACAGATGAAGGAAGCATTATAACATTTGAAATGGCTGCAAAATACCTGATTTATTTCTACAGGGTAGTCCAAGCACTTCTGGCACAGTAATTCTGGTAGCCTGTCAGTGATGAGGAAGGACCATCAGGATCACTTGGGATTTGTAGCATGTAGGCAGTAGTGATGCTTCTTGGGCTTACACATTCTTCATACAGATTAAGAACATCTTGATGCAAAAAGCTGACCAAGTCATTCATTGTACTTAATTCTACTGAAACAGAGAACTTTTGTAAATATTCTAAAAACCCACAAATATTAGGAAAATGTAAAATGACTTCTTCTGTCTCTAACACAATCTGCTTTGTTTTGTTCAAAATTCACAGACACCAGAGGAATTGACCATGAAGTGGGAAATCTGGCCTCATACCTAATCTTGAACACCCACTTCCTCTGCACTGGAATAGATAGCTAGAGAAATGTTAAGGTTAACTCCACAACTGCAAACAATTGTTACATCTAGGTTAAAGTGAACTGTCTTGTTACTGTAATTTGTACATGGGTAATGTGAACTGAGGAAATTAAATGTAGTGACCTGAATGAGGTCAGAGCTTTAAAATCTATAAGAGAGGAAGCTGCAACCCAACAGCAGGTCGATCAATGGTGCTGCCTTTTTGAATGTGATTGACCCTTTGATGGTGAATAAAATTTATATTATTTTATTTCCATTCAGCTCATCTCTATGTGTGTGTCACTTGCCAATTCCTTCTGCAACATTTGGTGTGTTGGCTGGGAAGGAAAGGGTTAACTGACATGGCCCATGTTGGGCTTCCATGAGTACCACGGGAGGGGGAGGCTGTCTGCCTCTTCGGAAGGGAAGAGGTGCACCCGTGGGATTTTCTGGGTTCCCTTTCTAGGACTCAGAGGCCAGCTCACTGGTGGCGATTTACTCGAACTTGAACAGAGACAGCTGAAGGAAGATGAGTGAGTGAAATTGTCCATCTGAATGGTGAGATTCCCTAGGCAACCCCTACTTTATTTTGTTTTTGTTTGGGTTCTTAATTGAACATTTGGGCAGATTACAGATTGGAGGCCTGATTACCCTCCCTCTCTGACATTTGTGAGGATTTATATCCTTAATTTGGGCAAAATATAGAGTTCAGGCCTAATCACCCCACACTCTTTGCCATTTGTGAGGGTTTTGATTGCTGTCAATTTGTTATTGTGCCTTGTATTGTGCTTTGTAAGGGGCCCCAGGGAGGGAATATGTTAACTTCTTGTGTGGTTGTGTGTGTGAAAGAGATTCAGTTAGGAGAATGAGTAGAATGAGCTATGAAAGCTATTGGTAGCCTCATCTGTGCACCAAGATAAAGGGAGGAGGTGCTTGTGCTTGAAGATCCCTCCCTGAATTGTGGAACTTGAGTGTGGCCTAGATCTGTGATTCCATGGCTAACATCTAATATGAGCAAAAAAAGTTATCTCCCTCTGTTTTTAACTGAGACTATGACAACTTGGAGCCTTGTGTGCTCTGTTTTAGGGCCTGAACAACCCAGCCCAGGAGCCACTCAAGCTTCTGCTCTGTGGTAATCAGCTGCTGGTGAAACCTGTTTAGTTTTGGTCTTAGAACAACTGCTTGCCAAACCTGCTATTTTACACATGGTGGACTTGCTTCTCTCAGAAAATGTGACATCATTACAGGCAAATCCCAGTGCTTCCCCTTTGGAAGAGGTCCAGCTACCTCCCCCTCCACTTGAGTTGCTAAGATCACAGGTGTGGAGGAGGTGGGGGCAAAAACATGAGGAGAACTGTGTGGCCTTACTGTACCAGAGGGTGCAGATGGGAAACCATGGTCAGACTAGAGAGAATGGAACAGGGCTTGCACTCAGATTAGAAAGAACTAAAATGACAAAATACATCTTTGGTGGATTGAAAATAGCTAGGAGAGCTCTGCAAAGTATACAGCAAAATAGAGAGGAAAAAACACTTCAGGCTTTTAGAGCCCCAAGGCCAGCCCTATGTTATCAGCCTGATGCTGCCTGCAAAGGTCTGGAATCCGAAACAAAGCCAGAGAAACTGTTTTACCAGACATCAAAGGATTTTACAAGAGAAATCAAGATACAAATTTTAACTAATTGATAAATGTATCCTTGTTTCAACTTGAATTAAGTTTAATTGGTGTGCTTAAAACACTTCTTGTGCACTGCAAATTCTTGAATTGTGATTATAGGGTTCACTTGCTCTTTTCTGTATTTTGTTGATGAACAATTCAAGGTTAATACTGTTCTATTGGCAACCAGTCAAATTCAAGATGTAACAATCTGAGAAAAGAAAAAAAGGGGACACTTTAAACTTTTAACAGCTGAAGACGTTTGTTATAGAAAGTTTATAATAAGTGAGGTATGGAGGAAAAATACAAAGAAGGCTATAAGTAGAAGAGATATACTTTTGATATGACAAGGATTTTGTATGTTTGTCTTGTTAGAAGGATAAAGAGAGATATATAAGACCAGAAGGCCTAACTATGTTGAGAAGGTGTGCAGAAGTGATTTATCAAGGAAATATGTATGTTTGCTTGTTGGTTTCAAGTTTGTTATAAAAGGTTTGCACTTACAGGTATAAAGAGACTTACTTCAATGAATAGTACTTAAATATGTTGTTGTAAAATGTTTACATTAGTTATCATCAAAGGGTTGAATTCTAAATATGTTATTGTGATATGTTTATAATGGTTATTTTCAAAATATAATATTGTCTGTAAAAAAACAAAGAGCTATTAAAAGAGATGACCCCCTTGTTTATGAGCTCTGGAAGCTGCAGTAATGCTAATTAAGGAAGCTGACAAACTAACTTGACTGTTCAGGTTCCCCATACCTTTCTAGAACTGCTGAATAATATAGGACATCAATAGCTTTTGAATAATAGAGTCACACAAAATCAGGCCCTCATTTGTGAGAATCCCCACCTACATTTTGTTCCAGTTAAAACCTTGAATCCTGCTACCTTTTGCCCTGAGAATCTGGCCCTCCTGACCACGACTGCCTCAGCATTGCCAACGAGTTGTTCTTGAATCATCGGAAAACCCCACTACCTGATTCTGATTTCATCCTGTTCACAGATGGGAGCAGCTTCATGGAAATGTGGTACACTATGCTGGCTATGCAGTGATGACCCAAGATGAAGTGGTCCAAGTGGGACCCCTCCCCACCAGATGGGTGGCTCAGAGAGTGGAGCTATGGGCATTTATGCGGGCTCTCCAATGGGCAAAAGGGAAAGAGTAAATGTTTATACAGACTCCTGTTATGCCTTTTCTACCCTACATAATCATGGCATAATATATAAAAGGCATGGTCTCAGAGCAGAGGGCAAACAGATTAAAAATAAACAGGAAATAATGCAGTTATTGTAAACAATGTGGGAACCCGATAAAATGGCAGTAATGCACTACTCTGGACACCAAAAAGGAAAAGATAAAATAGTAAAAGGCAATGTTAAGGTAGGTATAAAAGCCAAAATGGCAGCTAAACAGAAACTTCAGATGGAGATACAAAGGCCCCTAGCTGCTATAAAATACTCAGATAAACACTGCTCCCTGTGCTAAACCCTGCCCAGTTGATAAAGGTGGGGGACTGAGTTTATGTTAAAAATTGGAAAAGACCCCTTTCACCCTATATGAAAGGGACCATATGAGGTCCTTGTAGTTACTCCCACAGCTGTCAACATGACTGAAGTCTAACTGTGGATTCACCATTCTAGAGTGAAGTGAGCTTATCCAGAGAACTCCACAGACTGTGACTCCAGGAGACAGCACCCTCAAAGTTCTGCTCTCACCACACCAGAAGCTGGTGAGTCTATGCATGGCTGAAGAATGAGAACTGCAATCAAGGTATTATGGACTTTTTTTATTGTGTAAAATGGTTATGAGTTATTTTGTTTTTGAATTAAAATTTTATAAGCCTAAAGATAATAAGTTTGATAAAAATATGTGACCTTTAAAACTATTAAATGGGAACCAGAGGGATACCCCTTCACATTTCTTTTTGATGCCTGTCCAAAAGAACATTATGGAAACCCTGGTACCATACTTGACTGTGGGGATATACACAAGTAAAGAGATATTATTATACTTAAACAGTTCTTCTGTGACCCAAAGTATTGGCAATTGTGATAACTGTAAACAGGGACATTGTAATCCTTTAAAAATGTATTTAACCTGGCCTTGAAAGGCAAGCTGGCTACAGGGAATAGGTTTTCATGTTTATATATTAGATATCAGTCAACTTCTAGGCATGGGCCTCAGAGGTTAAAAAGTTGAATTCTGCAGATTAAAAATGTCTGAAAGAGCCCCTCCTCATAAATAGAAAAAAAAAAAAAACTCCTGTGCTGTAGGAAATACGAACTACCTTAAAAGGGCATCCAAAGAATTATACAGGAATGGATATGATGGGTTTAGTTGGTGGAACTCATTCACCACTGCTATAGGCAGACCAAGAATTAGCCTCTGATTGCTGGATTTGTGCACCAGTCACTTACTAGGCAACTGGCATCATGAGTGACCTGCCCTTAGAGCCAATAAAGCTTACTATGTACACTTACTCAGCTATTCACTAGATATAATTGGTATAAATTCAATGAGGTGTGAGGAGTTATCCCAAAAACAAAGGGAGGAATGATACAGAGGACTTTTGCAAATATTCTAAAAACCCACAAATATTAGGAAAATGTAAAATTTCTTCTGTCTCTAACACAGTCTGCTTTGTTTAGTTCAAAATTAACAGACTCCAGAGGAATTGACCATGAAGTGGGAAATCTAGCTTCATGCCTAACCTTGAACACCTCCTTCCTGTGCACTGGAATAGATAGCTAGAGAAATGTTAAGGTTAACTCCACAACTGCAAACAATTGTTACATCTGGGTTAAAGTGAACTGTCTTGTTACTGTAATTTGTACATGGGTAATGTGAACTGAGGAAATGAAATGTAGTGACCTGAACGAGGTCAGAGCTTTAAAATCTATAAGAGAGGAAGCTGCAACCCAATAGCAGGTCGATCACTGGCGCTGCCTTTTTTAATGCAATCGACCCTTTGATGGCAAATAAAATTTTTACTATTTTATTTCCATTCAGCTTTTCTCTATGTGTGTGTCACTTGCCAATTCCTTTCACAGTACTACCGCAATACATTGTTAAGATTGAATATCATTAAATAGTTGATCCTATCACTCTGTGTTTCATATGAGTTAAGTCTCACCACTCAATCATACATGTAGTCTTGT